ATTACAATTCTGTGTCCCTCAGTAACAATTCTGTGTCTGTCCCTGAGTAACAATTCTGTGTCTTGTCCTGTACAATCAATTCTGTGTCCCTGAAGTAACAATTCTGTGTCATGCAGTAAGACTCAAATTCAGGTGTCCCTCAAGTAAAAGAGATATTCTGATGACCATCAGTAACCCAATTCTGTGTCCCTGGAGTAACAATTCTGTGTCTGTCCTGAGTAACAATTTCTGTGTCTGTCACCTGTGTGAACAATTTCTGTGTCCTCTCAGTTAACATTCGTCGTGTTCGTCCCTGAGTAACAATTCTGCCTTCCCTCAGTAACAATTCTGTGTCCCTCAGTAACATATTCTTGTCTCTCCTGAGTAACAATTTCAGTCTGTCTGTCACCGAGTAACAATTCTGTGTTCTGTCCCTGAGCTAACAAATTCTGTGTCCTCAGTTTAACAATTCTGTGTCCACTTCCAGTAACAATTCTGTGTCCCCTCAGTAACCACAATTCTGTTGAGTGTCCATAAGTAACAAATTCTGTGTCTGTCCCTGAGTAACAATTCATGTGTCCCTTCAGTAATCATTCTGTGTCCCGCCGTAACAATTTCTGTGTCCCTCAGTAACTAATTCTGTGTCTCAGTCCAAACATTCTGAACCGTGTCCCTCTGTAACAATTCTGTTGTTGTCCTCTGTTAAAAATTCTGTGTACTGTCCCTGAGTAACAAACTTCTGTGTCCCTCCCTGAGTAACAATTCTGTGTCCCCTCTCACAATAACAATTCTGTGTCCCTGAGTAATCAATTCTGTGTCTGTCCTTCTAGTAACAATTCTGTGTCTGTCCCTGAGTAACAATTCTGTGTCTGTCCCTGAGTAACAATTCTGTGTCCCTCTCAGTAACAATTCTGTGTCCTCAGTAACAATTCTGTGTCCTCAGTAACAATTCTGTGTCTTTTATCCTGATGTAAACAATTCTTTTCTGTCTCTAAGTAAACGTTTCTGTGGTCCCTAAGTAAAACGGTTCTTCTGTGTCCCTAAGTAACGATTCTGTGGCCCTAAGTAACGTTTACTGTGGCCCTAAGTAACGATTCTGTGGCCACTAAATAACGTTTCTGTGGCCCTACCTAGAACGTTTCTGTGGCCCTAAGTAAACGGATTTCTGTGGCCGTTAAGTTAACGATTCTGTGGCCCTAAGTAACGTTTCTGTGGCCCTAAGTAACGTTTCTGTGGCCCTATGTAACGTTTCTGTGGCCCTAAATAACGATTCTGTGGCCCTAAGTAACGTTTCTGTGGCCCTAAGTAAACGTTTCTGTGGCCCTAAGTAACGTTTCTGTGTCCCTAAGTAACGTTTCTGTGGCCCTAAGTAACGTTTCTGTGTCCCCTAAACACTCTCTCCTCAATACAAGCCAGGTCTGCCTCTCTTGAATGACTGGAGGCAAATGGAGAATTCTAAAATGGCCGCAATTTATTAAGCTCGACCATTATACACAGTGCTGGCTGGCTGGCTGCTGAAGTTGGCTAATGCGATCACATGTCATGAATGAATTGCAATTATGGGGTCAGCGCGCCTTGTCTGCGCGCCTTCCCAGAGATCCCCGCTCCCGTCGCCGCACATGTCGCCGCCATTTTTAGAAAAATTTCGATTCGCGCTATCTGAAAGTCTGCTAATTTTCGGAATCGAAATTTTTCCTAATATTCGAAACGAATTCCACTTCGCCAAGTTCGATTCCGCCTCTCTACTCATAAACATGAGTTTCAAGAGCTTTGGGTGGTTTTTTTTTGCCAAAACCCCTGAATTCAAATCAATAAAAGAGCTTATGTGTCCATGTACACAAAGGCTTTTATCAGAGGTTTAACAGTAGTAGAGCTCTTAGGGCCAGTTAAACGTCCCTCTCCTGAATGCAGAAGAATAAAGTTCAGGAGAGGAATGTTTTGGCAAAAAACCCCAAAAATGCTACAAAAAAAAAAACATTTGTTAAACAATGTAAAAATCACGCCTAATTATTAACACGCATTTATCACTCGAGCATTATATTCCATTTCAATGGCATGTACTTGGCTAATAAAATAAATAAATGTCCAATCGCTATCGCTAAACTCCATTGCCCATGGAGCGACTATATGGCGACTCCCTCGTCCTCCAACGCCTTACCCCTCCAAATGTCACACTACCTACCAGCCGTTAAACCACGCAACCTTAACCCTGGCCCCCTCCACTCTGCAGCTGATCAACTCCACGACCGCATAACCTCCCCCTGTCCTGCCCTCCGACTTGGCTATGACTGCCTACAACAACGCGCTGTCAGCAGCCCTTGACTCACTAGCGCCTTTAACCACACGCAACATCAGACTCCGACCGCAATCCAGCCCTGGCAGACTGATCACACCAAAACCCTCAAACGACGCAGTCGTGCCCTGGAGCGACTATGGCGCAAAACAAAATCCCAACAATCTTTCACCTGCTACAAAATCTGCCTTCCGCACCTACACCTCCTCCCTCCATGCAGCCTAACAAGCCTACTTCCTGACCCTCATCAAGGCCCTCTCCTCCTCCAATCCTCGCTGACTCTTCTCCCCTTCAACTCTCTCAATCTCCACTTCACCCCCACCTCCACCCAGCACCGCCCTTGAGATTGCCAATCACTTCAAAAATAAGATTGACACAATTCGCAAGGACATTGCCGCAACTCACACCCCCTCTCAACCCGTCCCCTCTCACACAGCTACCCCCTCATCCCCCCTCCCCCTCGACATTACCCTCAGGGACTTCATCACTGCTCAAACTCCCTCCAACCCCGTTCCCCCTCACTCAGCTACCCCCTCATCACCCCTCTCCCACGGCCCCACCACTGCTCTGACCTCCACTCCCACCCCACCCTACATTCCTCATACTAAAGCTCCCCCAACACTCCACACCTTTGACCTTACTACCATCGAGGAAGTCTCCAAGATCCTCTCTGATGCCCGCCTCACCACCTGCCCCCTCGACCCTATCCCCTCACAATTCCTACGACCTCCCTCCCCCTCCATCCTACGCTCCCTCACCCACATCTTTAATCTCTCCCTCTCCTCCGGCACTTTCCCCTCCCCACTGAAGCATGCACACATCACCCCCATACTTAAAAAGCCCTCCCTGGACCCCAATGACCCGAACAACCTCAGACCCATCTCCCTGCTCCCACTTACATCTAAACTCCTCGAGCGCCTCGTCTACACCCGCCTATGCTCTCACCTCAACAACAACAACCTCCTCGATCCCCTACAGTCTGGCTTCCGCCCCCTACACTCCACCAAAACCGCCTTACTCAAACTCTCCAACGACCTTCTAACCGCCAAAGCTAATGGCCACTATTCAGTGCTCCTACTCCTTGACCTCTCTGCGGCCTTCGACACAGTCGACCACCCCCTCCTCCTCAAAATACTACACACTCCCTCGGCCTCAGAGATTCTGCTCTCTCCTGGCTCTCATCCTACCTGTCACAACGCTCTTTCAGCGTTACCTATAATGCTACCACCTCCCCCTCACTCCCCCTCTCTGTTGGGGTCCCTCAAGGCTCTGTCCTTGGGCCCCTTCTCTTCTCCATCTACACCTCCTCCCTTGGCCAACTCATACACTCTCACGGCTTCAACTACCACCTCTATGCCGACGACACACAAATCTATCTCTCAAACCCCCCACCTCACCCCCTCGGTCTCTGCCCAAATCACACACCTACTGAGCGACATATCAGATTGGATGTCGCTCCACTTCCTTAAACTGAATCTCTCCAAAACCGAGCTCCTTGTCTTCCCCCCAGCCCGAACCCCACCCCCCATTGACTTCTACATCACATCCAACAACACCATATCAAACCCGCTCTGCAGGCCAGAGTACTTGGTGTCATTCTGGACTCCAACCTATCCTTCCAGCCCCAAGTCCAATCTTTAACAAACTCGTGCAGACTCCACCTCCGCAACATCGCCAAAATCCGCACGTTCCTAACCCCAGAAACCACTAAGCAGCTCATCCACTCCCTCATCATATCACGACTCGACTACTGCAACTCCCTCCTCACTGGCCTGCCTCGCCGCTGGCTATCCCCGCTTCAGTCGATCCTGAATACGGCTGCCAAACTCATTTACCTTTCCAACCGCTCCATTTCCGCCACCCCCCTCTGCCAATCCCTCCACTGGCTTCCGATTGCGCAACGGATCAAATTTAAAATCCTAACACTGACGTACAAAGCTGTCCACCATACTGCCCCGAACTACATCACTGACCTAATATCCAAGTACCGCCCAGCACGCACACTCCGCTCCTCACAAGACCTCCTTCTCTCTAGTTCCCTGGTCTCCTCCTCCCATGCCCGCCTCCAGGACTTCTCCAGGGAGTCACCCATCCTCTGGAACTCCCTTCCCCAACCCATCAGATTATCACCTACTCTCCTCTCCTTTAGGCACACCCTGAAAACCCATCTCTTCAGGGAAGCCTACCTCACCCCCTGCTAACTTGCTGACCTCCTCCACTCTTCCTACCACTCCATCCCCCACAGCTATCTCCTCCTGTGCCACCATCCCCTCCCTCCTAGATTGTAAGCTCGAAAGAGCAGGGCCCTCAATCCCCTCATGTTTTGCATTGTGTTGGTATTGTTCTGTCACATGTTCTGTCCCCCTTTGTAATGTACAGCGCTGAGTGAACTATTGGCGCTTTATAAATACTGTATAATAATAATAATAATAACACTGCTAAATGTGGTACCGCTTTTACAAACTTTTTTGCCACATTTAGCTTTTTATGCTGCCAGCAGAAAACATTCCAGTGTACATGGAGTCTTATTCTTTTCAATGAGTAATGCAAGCAAAACACTACAACACTGAGAGAGAAGTGAAGGAGTGGGCATCTTGGAAGGATGAGCTTTTTAAGGTTGGGCTGGGGGTGGGGGGTGGGGAGGAACGCATTCTTTAACATGTTTTAATAGATAGTAATGGGTATTGTAAACTATCCAACATTATATGTGTACCACCATCCCTCTTGGCCAATTCTTCCATGGCCACAGGTGTATGAAATCAAGCACCTGGGCATGCAGACTGCTTCTACAAACATTTGTGAAAGAATGGTCGCTCTCAGCAACTCAAGCATGATAGGTTGCCACCTGTGCAATAAGTCCATCCATGAAATATCCTTGCTACTAAATATTCCATGGTCAACTGTTAGTGGTATTATAACAAAATGGAAGCAACTGGGAACAACAGCAACTCAGCCATGAAGTGGTAGGCCATGTAAAATGACAGAGTGGGGTCAGCGCATGCTGAAACGCAGAAGTCGCCAACTGTTTGCAGAATAAACTGTCTGTAGCTAGACACCTACAAACTTTGTGTGGCCTTCAGATTGGCACAACCACAGTACATAGAGATCTTCATGGAATAAGTTTTTCATAGTTGTGCAGCTGCATCCAAGCCTTACATCACCAAGTGCAATGCAAAACGTCAGATGCAGTGGTGTAAAGCACACCGCCACTGGACTCTAGAGCAGTGGAGGTATGTTCTTTAGAGTGATGAATCACGCTTCTTTGTCTGGCAATCTGATGGACATGTCTGGGTTTGGCAGTTGCCAGGAGAACGGTACTTGCCTGACTCCATTGTGCCAAGTGTAAAATTTGGTGAAGGGGGATTATGGTGTGGGGTTGTTTTTCAGGGGTTGGGCTTGGCCCCTTAGTGATAGTGAAGGGAACTCTTAAGAAGTCAGCATACCAAGACATTTTGGACAATTTCATGCTCCCAACTTTGTGGGAACAGCCTCTTTCTGTTCAACATGACCGTATATGTGCACAAAGCAAGGTCCATAAAGACATGGATGAGCGCGTTTGGGGTAGAAGAACTTGACTGGCCTGCACAGAGTCCTGACCTCAACCCTATAGGACACCTTTGGGATGAATTAGAGCAGAGACTGCGAGCCAGGCCTTCTCGTCTGACATCAGTGCCTGACCTCACAAATGCGCCTCTGGAAGAATGGTCAAACATTCCCATAGACACCCTCCTGAACCTTGTGGACAGCTTTCCCAGAAGAGTTGAAGCTGTTATAGCTGCAAAGGGTGGGCCAACTCAATATTGAACCCTATGGACTAAGACTGGGATGCCATTAAAGTTCATGTGCCTGTAAAGGCAGGCATCCCAATACTTTTGGTAATATAGTGTGTATATACAGTATGTGTATATATATATATATTTTTTTTTTCACAGTATACCACTGCTCAAAAAAATTGAAATTGAAATTGAAAATTATCAACCTACAGAGGACTGAATTCAAAGACACCCTGAAAAATCAAAGTAATAAAATGATGCAGCAGGCTAGTCCATTTTGTTAAAATTTCATTGCAGCAACTCAGATTGGTACAGAGTAGTTTATATGGTCCCCACATGCTTGTATGCATGCCTGACAATGTCAGGGCATGCTCCTAATGAGACGACTAATGGTGTCCTGTGGTATTTCCTCCCAGATTTTGACCAGGGCATCACTGAGCTCCTGGACAGTCTGAAGTGCAACCTGGTGGCATCAAATGGACCGAAATATGATATCCCAGAGGTGTTATATTGGATTTAGGTAAGGCGAGTATGGGAGCCATTCAATGGTATCAATTCCTTCAGCCTCCAGGAACTGCCTGCATACTCGCGCCACATGAGGCCGGGTGTGGTTGTGCACTAGGAGGAACCCAGGACACACTGCACCAGCGTAGGGTCTGACAATAGGTCTAAGGATTTCATCCTGATATCTAATGGCAGTCAGGGTGCCATTGTCTAGCCTGTAGAGGTCTGTGCGCCCCTCCATGGATATGGCTTCCCAGACCATCACTGACCCACCACCAAAACGGTCATGCTGAATGATGTTACAGGCAGCATAACGTTATCCATGGCTTCTCCAGACCCCTTCATGTCTGTCACATGTGCTCAGAGTGAACCTGCACTCATCTGTGAAAAGCACAGTGCGCCAGTGGCGGACCTGCAAATTTTGGTGTTAAATGGCAAATGCCAATCAAGCTCTATAGTGCTGAACAGTGAGCACAGGGCCCACTAGAGGATATCGGGCCCTCAGGCCACACTCATGAAGTCTGTTTCTGATTGTTTGGTCATAGACATTCACACCAGTGGCCTGCTGGAGGTAATTTTTTAGGGCTGTGACAGTGCTCATCACAAAGCAGTGGATACTGGTCCTACTGATGGGTTAAGGACTTTCTACGGCCCTGTCCAGCTCTCCTAGAGTAACTGCCTGTCTCCTGGAATCTCCTCCATGCTCTTGAGACTGTGCTGGGAGACACAGAAAACCTTCTTGCAATGGCTAATTGTTGTGCCATCCTGGAGGAGTTGGACTGCCTGTGCAACCTCTGTAGGGTCCAGGTATGGCCTCATGCTACCAGTAGTGACACTGACCCTAGCCAAATGCAAAACTAGTGAAAATCAGTCAGAAAAGATGAGTAGGGAAAAAAATGTCATCTGTGAAACCATTCCTGTTTTGGTGGCCGTCTCATTGTTGCCCATGTAGTACACCTGTTGTTAATTTCATTAACACCAATGCAGCTAAAATTGATTAACAACCCCCTCTGCTACTTAACTGACCAGATCAATACCCCAGGAGTTTCATTGACTTGACGCTATACTCTGATTAAAATGTGTTTTTGAGCAGTGTGTGTGTGTATATATATATATTTGGTTGGGTGGCACAGTGGCTTAGTGGTTAGCACTTCTACCTTGCAGTAATTGGGTCATGGGTTCAGTTCCCAACCATGGTGCCTCCTGCATGGAGTATGCATGTTCTCCCTGTGTTCGTGTGGGTTTCCTCCGGGTACTCTGGTTTCTTCCCACACTCCAAAGACATGCTGGTAGATTAATTGGCTCCTGTCTAAATTGTGCTAGTTTCATCCCTGGCCATGTGGGATTTCCTGCATGGTAGGGGTTGGGGAAAGACCTGGCAACCTGACCTGTAAAATAATTTCTAAGAGAATTCATGGAAAAAGTCACTTACAAGTGACAGTCCATGCAATTGCCAAGGGTCGGATACGACTGAATAGATAGATAGATAGATAGATAGATAGATATAGATAGATAGATATTTGGCATTGTAAAGCAACACTGATACTGCCATTATTAATGGTAAGGAGACTTGACTTAACTAAATGAGTTAGCATGAATTAATGGTATTGATATTAAAAATGATTCCCACAGAGAAATGTAATTAGTTACTAAACATAATGTTGCAAATGCATACTGTTTATTGTACAGTTTACAAATGAATACTCATTGAAATATAATAGAATCTGTCAGCTGCACACAGGACAGTCATTTTGCATGCTGATGTAAAATTCTAGGGAACTCTGTGTCTCCATTAGGCATGAGGTGAATATACCTGGGTTCGGTTTGAGGTGCGTTTGGCAGACAGTACTAGATTTCAAGTGCTGAATCCAAAACCTCACTGAAGTCCACGGGAGCTGAAGGTAAAAAACAGTAATGGTCATTTTCTATTATAATAGGCAAGGGATTGTCAATCAAAAGGGGATGAGCACTGCCCAGAGGAACATCTACCAAAGCAAAAAATGTAAAATAAATCTGTTTGGCTGGGAGCAGACATGTTAATAATATTTAAAGTGAAACATTACAAATGCTAAATGCCTTTAAATAACATGTTTGGGAGGATTACTTAACCTGTTGTATCTGTATTTATGCAATGTACTTCAGCAAAACTGACAAAAAATGCTTTTTAAATGGCTGGTAAATGACAGCCCCCTGCTGCCTACTTTTGTTTGTAAACAATGACACTGGGGATTCCCTTCATCTATGTCAGACACTTATCTTAGCTGAAGTGGGGTCCCCCAAATTCCATACCAGACCCTTTGAGCCTTTGGGAAATAAACTAGTTTCTTTCATCTGCAGGGGTGAGTGTAAATGCGCATATGATGTCAATTACAGCAACCTGACAAGTATTTTTTTTTAAATAAAATGTGTCCCTGTTTAACACCTTTTTAACCCTTAGTTAACCCTAATGTGTCCTATTCAACTTCTCCTCCTTAACTATTATTTTCCTGCTGATTCTTTTTCTTAATTATTTAAATTTTTCGAACTTCTATTTTTTATTATTATTATTTATTTTTGTTGCATTAAAAAAAGAGCAAAACTGAAAAAAGGCTTTTGTTCATTTGTTCTTTGTACCAAAATAATAACTGCCGTCTCGCTTTAAATGAGGCAATTGGTAATATAAAATTGATACTTTTTTTTTTTATAGTAACAATTTTTTTTTTTCAAAATAACATTAATGAACGTAGAACAAATATATTTTGTTAGCCTTGTTGCATTTTTTATCTATGGATTGCATAAAAAAAAAATCACAGAATTTTGTGATTTGATACTTTTTATCAACAGTAACACTATCTTTTTTAAACTAACACAGATCAAAGAAAAATAAGTAAATTTTTTAGTTTTGCTACTTTTTTGTCTATTGGTTGCATTAAAGACTTAAATAATTTTGTGAAAGATAATATTACCAAATGAAAGCATTATTTGTCCTAAAAGGGTATGTGTATTACTTTGTGGTCTTATGTAATGACAAGGTTATTGCAGAATCTATAGGCTAATAGTAGAAATTTAAAAATATCTGTGGTCAAAAAGGGGGTACAGGTGTAAAAGCTGCAATGGTTAAACAGCTTTTTTTCTTTTTTTTTTTTAATATATAAAACATGTTAACTCTCTCTATCCTTCTATACCAGTGGTCTCCAAACTGCGTCCCGGGAGCCAAATGCAGTCCTTTGCTTGCCTTTGATCTGGCTCTTGGGGCTTCATTCCTCCCATCCTGCCACTGACATTATCCATGGGGCATAATTCCTGCCACTGATACTAACAGTGGCACACCAATGATTGGAGATTATTCCTCCCACTGACACCAATTATGGTACACTATTCCATCCACGGACACCAGTGATGAGGCACCATTCCTTCCACTGACACCAGTGATGGGGCACCATTCCTTCCACTGACCCCAACAATAAGACACTATTCCTCCCACTGACACCAATAATGGGGCACTATTTCTCCCACTGATACCAATGATGAGGCATTATCACAAATGCCAAGACATTTTCTACTCCCACAGACCTCAGTCCAGTCCTTCTAAAGTCTGAAGGCACGTAAACTGGCCCTTTGTTAAGAAAGTTTGGAGACCCCTGTTCCATACAAAAAAGCATGTAATACAGAGTGCATCCATGACAAAGCAAAAGCTCTGTATCTGGGAAAAAATACACAGTGGACTTCTAGAGCTAGAGTTGAGAAATGCTGATAGAGGAGTCACTGAAAGCCTCCTAAGAATCCACAGGAGTTCACTATTGAAGTACACTTCAGCCTAGTAAATTAGTTTTCAGACAAAGCTAGCACTGCAGTTTTATACATTATGGGATTTGGTGCAACAACCACAAATTAATTTATCCAAAAAAATATATGTTACAAATGTTTTCTTCTTAAACATACATTGTCACCTGCTCGTTTAGAGCAGCATAATAGTGTCTCACGAAAAACCCCCAAGTATGCTATACTCACCCCATCCATGCTTTCTTACTGCCTTCCCATTGCAGGAGGATGCCTGATGTTTTTGTGTGATAGCACTGGACCAATAAAAGAGAAAGTTGGTTATGATGATCTACCCTAAAGTGATTTTTCCTTCAAAGAAGCAGATACGTAGTTTAAATATAGTGTAGGTGGATCTTTTTCTGATCCTAGGCTGCTACCTCTCTGATTGCTACAAAGAAAGTACTTACCAGATGGTGAATTTCTGGATGTGTGC